TTTCCTTCGGGACACGGGAATTATATTAAAAAATAAAATGAAAAAAATATCTAATTATTACTTAAATTGTAATCAATTCATATATTGAAGTAGTTCTACCACAACTTATTGTTTCTTTGTTTTTATCGATATAATCTAAGAAACTGAAAGATAAGTAAAAGACAATATGATTAATCAAAGATCAACGTTTAGTTACTGTTTCACTTTATATCATAAACATTTCTTTTGCCGATATCAACATTTACTTTTCGTGCACTAGGGTCCCGGTTGAGGGTGAAGATAACTAATGAACATACATCCAAACTCACACCCACACTCTCGAGATATAATATATCGATAAATATTACGTTAAAAGACGAGATAGAAGTAGATGTGTTTAGCTCACTTCGAACAGATATTTATCGTTTAGAATGGTTCACGCAAATTGATATTTTATTTACTTCCACGTTCTGTACATCTATATATCGAAAGAAATATTATCGTCGACGACGTGCAACACGTGCATTTGTTTTTGTCACTACTACGAATTAACATTGATCTTCTTACTAGTTAAATTGAGTTTAAAATGAAACGAAAAAATAGCATTAAGGATTATAATAATAATAACAAAAGACAAAGACGAAACAGTAAAAATCATCTTTTATTTTTTTGTAATTCTATTTTATTTTTGTAGAAACAACAATTGACACAAATTCGTCAGTCCACAAAACGATTTCTTTGTTTTTATTGAATATTTATCTTTTCTTTTTTTAGTTTATCGAAAGAATCAATTACTACTTTCGAAGATCTTTCAAATGAACTTCTTTATGAAATATTTGATTATCTCATTGATTATCATGCATTTCAAGCCTTTTGCTATCTCAATAATCGATTTCAAAATCTTTTTCTTCATTCAAATTTTCCCATTAAAATTAATATTCGTGAGATATCAAAATCAGAATTCGAATATTATTTAAAACATATTATTAAACCCTGTACTAAGCGAATTAAATTATTTCGAGTATCGAATCCATGTATTGATCCATGTTTGTTATTATTTCCGTTAATGAAACATTTAACCCAACTTACAACCCTTATTTTAAATAAGATTGAAGCTAATTATATAGAACCAATTGTAAATCATTTATCTTCTTTACCTGTTTTATCTTCATTGACTATGATATCAATTAATAAGCTTATCAAGAAAAATAATATTTATTATAAACTATTCCGTTTATCCAAATTAAAATATTGTCAAATATCAATTGGATTATTACAATGTCCAAAATCATTACTTGCTGCTACAAATGAATTTAGTGCTATTGAATATCTTATTATTAATAATGGGATTTCGATTGATCCACTTATTATTATATTATCTTATGTTCCACAACTACGTCGTTTATCTATTCATTATCTAACGGAATCTAAATATAATCGAATAAAAAAAGATTCAATAAATTTGAATTATTTAACAAATGTTTCTATTAGATTACTTTGTGTTCCTTTTAATCAGTTTGAAACTTTAATGATTAATTATTTTCGTCAAATTCAA